CATATATATATGACATTATAAATCTGACATCCAATTATAATTGTACACAACATTTGTATTATCATAAATAACAATATAAAAGGACAGACGTTAAAAGTTTAAGTTTAAGTTTAAGTTATTTTTGCCAATACTAGCAAACAGTGTTCTTTTGAAGCATTCAAAACTACAGAAAAAAATGTCATGGTGGGAACATATGCTATTATATGATCGACACATTCTGCACAATGGTCCATTCTGTGAAACATTATTTTTTGTAAGAGGTACACTAAACAACTGCGGAGTATGCATAGAACGAGTAGGTACCCTAAAACACAGGTGTTCGATCAGCTGAGAATCCATGGCAGAGTTAACAATTTTTTTAATAATAAAAATTTATCAAAAACAAGTCAGCAATTGATAATAACGGTATGTCAAAAGGGTAAATGACTTTAGCATCTGCGGACTATGCGAATAAATAGTATAAATATCACAAATACACGTCACGTTTTTTACTGCGATGCTTTACCAGGGTAGTAGTCACCTTTTCATGGCGAGAGTGAATAGGCATTATTTCGGTTTGCATGCTAATCGTCGACCTCATCATTACTTTCCATCAGGTGAGATGGAGGTCAAATGCGCACTTACATTTAATAAACAAAAAAAGAAAAAATATGTTGAATACGAATAAATATGTTGTGAAGATAGTTTTAATTGTAATAATAACACGTTCACCACGGTGTACCATCGGCGGAGCAGGGGCTATTGGACCATCAGGCGTAGTGTAACACCGGTGGTTACACAACACTTGACTTTTGGTATATTAAGAAACCCAGGTCGCTTTGAGAAAAAGAGCTAAATTTGACTTTCCCGCCCTGAGCAACAGTAAAATTTTCATAGTGTGGCTCAGGAGTTTCATATTGTATAAGATAGTAAAAAAAAATCAAGTTTGAAAAAAGTAATAATTTGAAAAAAGAACTAGAAATATCTTAAGAGCTCTCATGGCAAAAAAGTTTTGACGTTGGCTCCGCCCAAATTTGTGAAACAAATATATTTGCCTGAAGTTCGCGTGACATGCGACAGGAGATGTTGAATTTTGCGCATTAAAAGTACCAAATGCGTTTTAGCGGAATAACTCTAAAACTAAAGGGATTAAAAAAAAATCCGTAGTGATAGTTGTCGATCATGCATAAATATAATTAATTATTTAATTTTTGTCCTAATAACCAGTAGCATTTCGAGGGTGAATCGAAAAAATGTGAAAATTAGAGGTCATTACGTGATTTTTATCTATCGAGGAAACTTTATTGTTTTATGTTTCTGATTAATGTCTATGCTTGAATATATCGTGTAGTTACTCATACAATATTTTATTTTTAACTTTAAAGTGGATATACCCCTCTGAAATCAAATCGAAGATTAGGAATTTTTCCTCTGCTCCCTCTTATTTCTTATATATTGTATTTTATTATATATGCATCTTTTTATGATTATTATCAGAATCCTGAGATGTTTCTACATGACTTTGCGAACCCGGGCTTACAGGTGGAGTACAATTTTCGTCAGACAGCTTCTTATATAACAAACAATATACGAGTTGAGTTTTAGGCGGGAATCGCGCAAAAGCGCTGGGGTGTATTTGCTTGAACTGGCAAAAAAATTGTTGATTTAGGATAACAGGATAATTGAAAGTCATAAAGCATAATATAAATTATTATATAATAATAATAATTTCATAAAGCATAAAATCCAGTCATGTCCACCGGTGGCGCATCCCGCCGCCTAACAAATGTTTTGGTTGATGGGGCGATGATGTACCACCGGTGGCCATGTGAAAATCTTTCTCGCCGGTATAAATTTGGTCATTTTGATACCGGTCTGAACGTGTTAAGTTTATTGAATAACATGATATTTTACTACCATGATATTATGGTAGTTTATGTAACTGTTACATAATAAAAGACAGTAAAATACGAGCGAATATAAAAACATCTCACGAGTGTTTTAATGCCTAATTATGTACAGTTATATACACTGCTTTATCTACACACATATTATAAGCTCTCTGTGATGTGTTCAAGAATAGCATGTTACGACTGGCGAAATGGTGATAAATAAAAACTTTTCTCACGCATGTCACACAACCGTAGTTTTTATTTTTCATTCATAGACAAACTAGAATCGGGCCCCAACTATCATATCGTTCGATATCAAGTAACGTATGAAGTTGTCAGAAATTGTTTTCTATAGACATTTCATTTCGAATAAAACTTCATCTCGACTGATATTAGAATTGAGGTCCAATCAAATTGTTTTGTTTTTCAGAGATGTTCGAAATTTGAATTGTAATAATAAAATCGAATTCGATGTTAAATTCCTTTGATCCGGCTGGACTAGAACCAGCAACCTCTGGCTGGTGGCTGACGCTCTCCCTACTGAGCTACGGAACGAAACAACACCCTTACAAATTTTTCTATGTTTTTGGTTTTAACGATTTTTTGCCGTAACGTCATCTGTGAGAAACCCTAAGCAGGATTTCTCAATCGTCACCATCCGCTGTGGTCTTTTGACTTGGACCATCGAAAAATAACCCGATAATATAATTCTCAAACCGGTTGAATAATTCACTAATGAGTCTCAGCTTAATGATAATTAACCGTTTCCTGTAATTCGTGCGCCATCTTTCGTAGCCATTTCTTTGTTACAAATAATTAGTGATCGCTAAGGGGTGAGAGATACCATTTCGAAATTGTAATTCGCTTTGAAATTTAATTAAAATTCGTTAACGTATTGGGTACTCTATTTAATTTCGTAGAATTTGTAAGACGTTGTAAAGTATGTAAGTTTCCAGTCGTTATTCTCAGGGGAATCTTAAATAAGTAATTTTGGTAATGTGACTTATAATCCACTTGCAGGAAAAAAAAAACTTTGAATGAAATTTTAAATTATTTATACAAAGATCGAACACTCAGAAAAAAAAACTTCGATCCGGATGGATTCGAACCGACGTCTTCTAGCATACCGTGGCAGATGCTATATCAACTAAGCCACGGAACGAACCAGCGGACCTCACGAATTTTTCTATGTGCTTGTTGTAGTGTCTTTGTATTTGGTTTTTCAACCACCTTTTAGTCGTAGCGCCATCTATGACAAATCTATGAAAGTTTTATCATCCAGTTAGATACCGCTATTTCTTGTATTTTAAATTTTCGTTGAATTGATATTTAATTATTTTTGTGAAATTACTCCACTAGTTTGTTATAATTATAAATACAAAGACCGAACACTCACAAAAAATTCCTTCGATCCGGCCGGATTCGAACCGACGCCGACGTCTTCTAGAATATCGTGCCAGACCCGATCTGCCGGTCGGTTCGATCCGTCGAAGGAATTTTTTCTTAATAATTATAACAAACTAGTGGAGTAATTTCACAAAAATAATTGAATATCAATGCAACAAAAATTTGAAATTTTAAATGTCAATCTTTGTTTTTGTTTTTTAACGACTTTCTTGCCAGCGCCAGCTGTGAGAAATTGATGAAAGGTTTTCTTCACTCAGCCTGGTACTTTCACGGCTACTAGCGGCTGACTGAAGATGTCACTTTTATAATGATAATATTAATTTTATTGAATATAATGTTTTACAACCAGGCTTACTGCACTAGTTTGTTATAAATTAAGGCGTTTCCCTGAACAAATTACCTTGAGCATTCGGGCCCGACTTACTGCACTAAAATTTTACTCTCGCCATCTAGCAAATGACGCAAGCAGCACCAAGCAACCGATCATACGGGGGACATGGGCGGAGCTTATTTTATAGGAGTCCGATTTCTAATAACATCGAAAATAGTTTTTTAACCCGTTAGATGGATCACAAATTCAAGATTTTTAAAGTCGAAATTATTGTTCTGTGAGAATTTTAGATTCTGCAGGGATGTCAAAAATAAGAGATTCAGGGTCGTATTCTAGAACTCTACTCAATGCTCAAGTCAGGATTTGAGTATGGTTTAAAGCACTTGATATCATACTCAAGTCCCTGCCATTAGGGTCGTATTTCCAGTGCTTGTGTTGCCAGTGCAATCCTGACTTGAGCATTGAATGGAGTTCTAGAATACGACACTCAGATTTCAAGATAATGAATCAATCGAACACAAAGAATGGTGCAGCTGCAAAAAAAAATCGGTAAAAACCAGAAACAAAGATTTTGCTACACTGTTCTCAGGTTTTCGCGATAAGTGCATTTATTTATATTTAATTAATATTAGTCAGCCGTGGCCATGCAAATTGTGAAGTGCCTAAAATATCGATTTACTTGGAAAAACTACCACCTGACCTATTTCTGCCGCCAAGCAGTAATGTCAGCATCACTGTATTCCGGTCTTGAAGGGTAAGGGTGCTGGTGAAATTACAGACACATGGGACTTGTCAACTTACGTCTCAATGTGACGGGCATAGTGACAGTCTCTCAGACCTTAGTGATTTAGCGTGCACGAGCTGTTCGTCCCTTTGAGACTCCAATATTTTTTCGAAGCTAGCGTGTTCTCCTGTTTATCTCTTTCTCCATACAGTAACTAAAAGTCACCAAACGTCATAGGCAAATGTACTCACTCACATGCTCTATTTTAGCATCGTGTACTAAGATGTTATATTGCTCTCAGTTAGTGAGTACCTTTGTCAAAGTCAAACTCAAACAATGATTAATTGTAAAATTTTTGCACTTGAAAACGTAATTTTTTAAGCTACTGCTAGATCACTACGCTGACCTCCCTGAGAAGAACGAGCACGAAACTCTAGGGATTGATCTTTTCAAATAAACTTAAATGCTATAGAATACATTTTTAATCATATTTGTGTGGAATCTAGACTCACGTTGTTAATTATGACTTTTCAATTAAAATACTTTTAAAGTAAGTTTTAAATTTAGGAAATGGTAAACTCAATATATGCTCCGGAATCTTATTGTAAAAACGTATACAGCTCCCCATAAAATAATCGTTTATTTTACTTAACACGTTGATGGACAGAACGCCCTCTGGCGATCACCCGGTCAAAAATGATATGACAGAACGCCTGTGGACGTTCGATTTTTCCTATGCATATAGCCAGAACGCCCAACGGCGATCAATTTTGCATTCAAGTTTATGAAAGTCCATGTTTTAGTGTCACGGTATATGCAATTCAAACCGTCCTACTGTCACCGCGTAGTTTCAAAATTATCTTCCGAAGAAAGGTCCGTCACCCACACAATGACATTTTTAAAACTATTCCTTTCACGCACACTACGCCCGTGGGCGTCGTGTTTGTATACAAATTGACGAGTAGTGTGCAGCGTGCAGGCGCCGCGAAACGTCACGGATTTTGTTTCGCGCCCGGATTCTAAAAGGTAAATTAGTGTTTGTTTTTCGAAATTTTAATTGTTTTTTATTCGTAAATCACTAGACAATGTATAGTGGCATACGTAATTATACTGTAACTTTCTATTTTATATATTTATACACATTTTATTTGCTTTGAATTATTGTTGTAGATGGCGAAAAGAAATACCTACGAAGAACAACAAAAACGACTTCAAGACTTGTTCGATGAAGCTTCTACACCTGAGTCCAGTCAAGATCCATATGCTGATGATGGGGAGTATGGTTCTGATCTTGACTATCAACCCAGTGACTTGGAATCATCAAGTTCCGAGGATGCAACGAGCCGCCCAAAATCAAGGCGTGTACAGAGAACTGCATCTATACGCTCTGGTGAGTCAGCTTCATCGTCGTCATCTTCGACTTGTGATCAAGTTGATGACCTTACTTCCTGTTGTTCTGATACCGAGGAAGGTAGAAATGTTTCAAATTCTATATATCAAATAAAAACACCCGCTGTCTCACCATCTAATATCAGTAGGGTTGAGTCTTTAGGTGTCGAACAACACTCACATGTGGCTCAGGACCAAAATGATAATATTGAAGCAAGCCTAAACTACATTTCATTCGAGAGACCGGCGTCTGTGTCTCTGAAATGTGATGAGCATATAAATGAGGAACAATGCTCAAATATATTCCAAAATAGTTCTAGTGCTAATGAAAATAATATTGAAGGTATTTCCAATCCCGATGCCTCGGAAATTCAAATGCATGTTTCTCAGTTAGTCAATGACTCTAGAAATGTCGAAGTACAACCAAATGTGACGCAAAATACTACAACTAACCGACACTCAGCCAGTTGCATTCCTAGAAGAGAAGAAGTACCTCTCCCAGAAGCACCATGGTCAACTACAGTTACTACTGTACCTGATTTCAATTTTGACAGATCAAAATGCGGGATAACAGTGAATATTGATAACAAGGATAATGTTTTGGATTTTTTCCATCTTGTTTTTCCTCAAAATTTCGTCGAATATCTTGTAAACTGCACTAACGCTTATGGGAATGCTTTATGTAATACTGACAGACCCCATACGAGACACAGTCGCAAAGCAGTGTATCGTGAAACCAATTCTGAAGAAATTATAAAATTCCTTGGTCTCAGTCTTCTCAAAGGTAACATAAAGACACCGAATCAAAGAAGTCTATTTTCACTTTCCGATGTCCTTTATTATCATCCCATTTTCAACTATGTAATGTCTGGAAGAAGGTATGAGCAAATTTTACGATGTCTATGTGCATCCGAATTGAATGCTCAAGGCGAAAATAAGATATTGAAGTTTATTGATATGCTGACACTGAACTTTAGAGAAGTCTATAACCCCAGTGAAGAATTATCATTGGATGAATCTCTTCTTTTGTTTCGGGGCCGTTTACACTTTCGTCAGTACATAAAATCCAAAAAAGCACGCTATGGCATAAAATTTTACGAACTTACAACACACGATGGTTATGTGTGTAACATTAAAATGTATTCAGGAAAAGAAGCGACAGAACAGAATGAATCTGAGTCCAAGACTCCAGTACTGATGATAGAAACCATAAGGAATTGAGGGAAAGTCTTAAAAAATACAGCAAATATGTAGCGCTTTTAATATTTTTAGAAATAAGTAAATCATTTGCATTCAACTGTATTATTTAGTAAAGTGAAACTGATGAAGGTTTTTTTTGTTAAAGTTATTCAGACTGATTATTTAGGAGTTTTTGTAATCATTTTCCACACTAAGTATGAGACTGATTAGAACAATGTGTTACGTTGATTTTTTTAGAATTGCTATGTTGTAAGTTATGGGTACTTGAAATACTTGTTTTGATAAATGTGCCATTTACAAGATAAATATGATCTCTGGACAGATGTGATGCTGGTAGTAATTAAATAACATTGTTTTCTTAATAAATCTGTTTGTAAGAATTCATTTGTTTTTATTAATATCATTGGTACATAAAATACTTAACTACTATAGGTTTGTATGAGTTATACATAGATTTTTACGAAACAAATGTGACAGTGAAGATGTATATACGTTGACGTCGACAGCCGTTCTGCCGTATAATATACATGAAAATACAAGCCAAGCGACACTACGCCCTACGACGTATACGCCTAAATCCGTTCTGTCACTTTACTTATTCTACAATACATACTAGATGACAGTACGCCCTACGACGTATACGCCTATATCCGTTCTGTCATAACATCATTATTTTCAATCAAATGTAGTGACACTACGCCTGTAGGCAATGTATGAAAATTCGTAGTGATATATATAACACAGTCGATCAGTAATGTGGTAGTGTCCATCAACGTGTTAAACGAAAACGTGGTACCATGAGTTTGGACTTAGTTCTAAGGTTAATATTATGTATATTTTCTTTCTTAACGAAATTGTGTATATTTTTTAATTTTTATATTTTTATTTGTTATATTTGTGTTAGGTGAATTCACTTGCAGTCCCAACCTTTGACTCTCTCGTGATAATTCGCTCACCATGGCTTCCAAGTATTTATGCATTATCGGCGAACACTACTATATCGTCCGCGAAACGAAGGTGGCTCTGGTACTCTCCATTTAGCTTAACTCCTGTTTTCCCACTGTAAACATTTGAAAATCGACTCTAGCACAGCTGAAAAGATTTTTGGTGAAATGGGGCCTGGAAATTCTCGCTCTAGCTAGACGTATTTTGGCTCCGCATTTGGAGTATATATCGCGAATTATAGCTATGTAGGTCTGGTTAATGCCTTGTTGTTCTAGAGTTTCCCATATTGCTTCATGAAATTAAGAGTCAAACGCTTTTTTATAGTCTATAAAGCGCATATACAATGGTTTTCCGAATTCATTACACTTCTCTGGTAATTTTTTTTTCTGCCAATTCATGTGCTCAGAACCAGAAGGCCGACAAAGTCAGATTGAGGGACAGATGTCTTGTGTCAATGCGTGTACACATTTTTCCCGTCCTCTAAGGTACAAAATCATTTAATTTTCTAACATTTCTTGACATATAAAACGTTTTTTTCACTACCATCGAGTATATAACCAGAAATAGAGACGAAATGTAATTTAATTTGTATGAAAACTATACTGCCATATCATTACTGTGACAACTGCGCTCCGATTGGCCAGCCCGTAATATTTAATTACCGATGAAATTTGATTGTTACATGTTTTGCTGTTTTTCTCCACACCACCGAATGGAACAGCACGTCATTGTTAGATATATTATCTTTATTACAATAAATACAGAATATTTTTGGAATATACGGAGACGTACACACAGGTCAGTTGTTGGCGTTGCCTATTTTTTAGAGTTGATATTTATAAGTGATGTATCACTGATGAGTTAATAATAATAACGCACACACTCGACATAGCCCCGCACTAGGGAAACCCTGTGTCGCGGGTGCCATGGACACACAAATAGACAATTACAAATTACACCCAAACTCACGAGACAAATAAATGTAGGCCATACAAATATTTCTCCCGGCCCGGGAATCGAACCTGGGACCTCTGCATGGCAGTCCGGCATGGTAACCGTTCGGCCACGGAGGCAGTTAAGTACCAGGAATGTATGGCCCTTATTTCGTCTCTATTTCTGGTTATATTCTCGATGTTCGCTACACTATGAAGTCTGTCTGGTGCAAACAGCAATATTGTATTGAAACAGAATGCGACGTAAGTAATTGTACACAGCCAATACCCAGTGGTACCCTGAGGGTTGCAAGCAGTAAGTCTCCAGGGTTGTCAAAACTGGAGTTTAAATACCTTGGCCGTTTCATGGCTGATAACCTTGTGAACCATTTGGATATTGAAAGAGTAAGAAAAACACTGGTAATAAGATGTAACACATTGGTCTAGCGATTTGTAGATTAGATGCGTACATTTCCTTGCTTCCTGGCTGCGCGGAGTATATAGTTATTTTTAACGTAATCCATTACGCTTGTCTTCCATTGGGGTAGACGGAAATAACACATTTTTATTTGATTTACTTCTTGATAAACCAGAAAAAGTATGGCCTACAAACAATCCCACGTTCAATTAAAGCAACCCCTTCATAAAGTTAGCAAAAAACAAAGAAACAAAAGGGGCGTTTTCTATTCTGTTTACGACCTGCTATAAAACTGATACCCTTTAAAATCGCCTTTTGTCGTGCTCTTAGAAAAAGGGCAAAAAATATTTGAAGAAAAATCTTAAGTAAAAGTGCGTTGGGACAATTTTCTACAAGAATGGTCCTTGATGTGTCCTCTTTTAGCGCAAAACAACGACTATTTACAGCATCCAACTACGTAAAGGAAGAAGACCGCAAAATGTAAATACATTAAAAAAAAAAAAATAAATTACACATAAACTTAACTCAGGGGCTGAAGTTTCCTTTTAGACTTGACAGGGTTTGTGTTAGGAAACACCGCTCTGTCTGTTGTACCCCGAAGGTATGAGAGTGTGCAGGAATTACAAACTGAACTTAGACATATTATCGAGTTCTTAGGTTTTCGCGATTGTTATACATAGGATATGAAACTATTTTTCCGGATTTAAATCGCGTATATTTGTTTTTTCAAACAAACCGACGTTTCGGGTCCTTTACAGGTTCCATCCCATTTACAGTCAACCGTGACCATGGGACCTTTGAGGAGATTTGGTAGTGGAACTCTGAGTTGATGGCATAGCGGTGACAACCGCTATTTGTGCAAAGCGCAACGGGAAGCGAGCGTGCCTACAGCTCCGGTACCTATCTAGAAAATAGGAAGGCCACTGTTTGTGCACCCGGTGCGGCTCACCCGAGGCACTAGCCTCTCGAAGAACCGGATGAAGTCAAGTGACAGAGGTCTGTGACAACCCTGTACACTGGCTAATCTGGGGTCAGAACCTGAACTTAGAAGGTTCATGTACGCACACAGGTTATAGTGTCCTTCTCGTATAGGTACCCTCAGGGTCGGTAGGGAGGGTCACTATAATCAAAATTAACGCAGAAAAATATGGGGTTGGTCTGGGCTGGTAAGAGTTTCCGCTGATCGACTTTCTAGATACAGATACGACTTGATTAGATATACAGTAGCGAATAGTCAACCTCCTACCACAACTGCGATTACTACCACGACAACTGCTCGGAGACGATATGAGAGCATTAAATCCATGTTTAGGTTCGATATTTTCTGAGCTGATAGAGGAGCTAGAACGTGACAGAGAAGAGTCACTATCACTTTCTGTCTCCTGTTCTCAATGTTCAAGGTCAGATTCACCTAACTCCGATTTGTCAACGCTTCCGATGATTTGTGCAACCAAATCGCATGTTAACGTCCCTAAAAACAAAAAAAAAATAAGTAAAAAAAAACTAATCTAGTCATTTCCATCCTGACAAGCACGATCGTGTTTTATGACTTTATGACTGAATAAAAACCAAAATTTCTAACAATTCACTGTTTGATTATTTTTTTATGTAAAATATAACATATACTTAATAAGAAAATACAGCATTAGGTCAGAAAACACGAAATGATGAAATTTAAAAAATCTTGTTTTTCGACCTGCCGTCCGACACGGCGTGTACCACACTTGTCGCTCTCGGCACAGGTGTGTAACCCTAGAACACGGCCGCGCTGCTTTAACAGCGAATATTGATCGAATGCACAAACGATCGGTGTAGATCCGACGTGGTGGAACTTACGTCTTTAAATTCTTTACCGGTTCTCGAACCAGAATCCCTGACCCCGACAGACTGTGTCATTGCCGGGGAATATCGCTTCCTGTTAAAAAATTCAATGTGTCTTTTATGATATGAGAGAGGCGAGATCTCTAAATTAGATAACCAGATAATCACAACGTCTCAACCAAGGGTATTGCTTGTTTTTTTTTCTTATAATAACAAGTGACGGGGCGAACAAGTCGTGCGCCTGATGGTAAGCTACACGCCTGTTCATAACAGTTGCAGTGCCACTCAGAGCTTCACTGCGCCCATCACCCTGAGACGTAAGTTGACTTTCATACTAATATTTTTTCCAAGTTGAACGCACGATCGTATCATTCTGTGCTGTATTATGATTGAGGCTTTCGACTAGTATAGTAAAATTACAGGTTTTTTTTCTTCACATTTGGCGAGTTCGATTCCCGGTTCAGACAGGCGATTATTTAAAAATCTTTGAATGCAGTTGGAATTGTTTTTAAAATGAAGTCTTGTTTTTTCTATATATGGTATTTAAGGTACTGTGCATAAGTGTGGCATAGCCGTGAGACGCACTGTATAGATAGGTACCATTTGCTCCTAACTTGAATATTGATTTCTAATAGACTTAGGGTCGTATTCTAGAACTCTACTCAATGCTCAAGTCAGGATTGCACTGGAAACACAAGCACTGGAAATACGACCCTAATGGCAAGTACTTGAGTATGATTTTCAGTGTTCACTGCAATACTCAAGTCCCGACTTGAGCATTGAGTAGAGTTCTGGAATACGACCCTTACAGTGCCGAGACGCTGTGATGGCCGTTTTGACAGATTACAATAGTGAGGTCAAATCTCTATTCATTACCGAAAAAATATAGTGAAATGTGAGTCACATCTATAAGTTTTTAGATTTATAACTAAATAC